TCAACTTAGGGTGCTATATAATCAAGTAAGTCGACACACAAGATACTCGAGATCGACTGGTTCTTATTTGATCCTAGATCGACTCAAATCAAACTCGAATAAAAAAGCTCACAAGCTACTCGATTATGAGTTAGTGTTGATTATTTTAGATCCAATTCATACATATGACATTACATTATATATTCATAGTATGGATCCATGCATAAGAAACTAAACTATACATGCCTTATACTAAAAATATATTAGATCTTCACATATTACTTAATGTTTTAAATAATGTTCTAAAAGTGTTATGTGGATTCTAGGCATTATTAGACAACGCTCAAACAGATTTAAGTAGGACTAATTCAATTTAGTCATCTTAGGTTTAAATTAAACATAGACAGAAAAGAGAGTCCTAATATGTAAGAGATAATTAGACGGAGAATTTTAAAACAATGTTTTTATGTTTAAAATATATTAACGATTTCACATATGTGTGCAAATGTATAACAAATCAAACTCTTTACTTAAAAAAATACTGCGTATCATTTTTAGAATAGGTAGAACTCGAATACAATTCGAACTCGACTCGACCTTGAACTTGACTCAAACCAAGTCATAAAATTTTCAACACAATTGAAGCTCGACTCAAACTCGATCTTTCGTTATCAAGTCCGACACAATTTAAGCCGAAATTGAGCTCGAATCACTCAATTAGCACCATTATCTCTATCTCATTGATCTGCCAAGTATGATGAAATGTATCACAGTCAGAAATACAAACAAACATAAATTGACCATTATAATATTGCCTCCATGGCTCTGTCCATGTCCCTTAAAAAAGACCCATTTCGATTTACGAAGTTTGAACAACGATAAAGTTAATGAATCCCTATGAACATTCAGATTAGTTTTAGAAAATAAAAATTACATATTCAGAAAATACATTATAAGTTTAACAAAGTTGCAAAAAAGTTAATTTTGATAAAATGTTGAATATATAAAATAAAAAATAAAAACTATTTACATTTCATTTTTTGAATTATGAAAGCCAATGTTTTATTTTATTTTAAAAACATCTTTATAATCGAGTCGTGTTACAGGAGGGTTTTCCTTTAAAATATGTCGTTCGACGAAGCTATTTTTTAAAAAGTTACAAATTCGTTGAATTACTCAATTTGATGCATTAAGAAATCCTAGTATCTTAATTACAAATTTGTTGAATTACTCAATTACGTTGGATAGAGGAAGGACAGAAGAGAGGTGACCAAGAAAGGATGGATACAGAAGCTGGAGACCCAAGAAACGGGGTTGGGGTGAGTCCTGGTACTTAGACCCGCCAAGAAGCTAGAAGGCTCCGTTATTATGGACATTTTATTTTTTATTTAATAGGTTTCTTTTTTATTTTTTTTCGAGTCTTTATCCTTGTGTTGTTGATTTGGACACTTGTTTTGTAGTTAGAAGTGTTTTGACGGGTAAGTTAATCAATTTGGTCATTGTAGTGTTTAGACGTGCTGCCCATTCAGTTGTTATCGAATAGTAAATGAGATATGTTTTCCAAATTGGTAAAGTAATAGTTGAAATAAATCAAAGTGAGTTTTTACATAGTACAGATTATGAGTTTTAAAAAAGCGAATTTACGAAAAGTGGGTTTGAATTGTTTGGTGAGAAATACTTGTTAATGCATTATTTACACATAATATGACAAAAATGTGGGAACATTTATAGGATGTGGATCCTCTTGCCGCACGACAAAATGCCTGGCGTAGATCCAACGACAACAAAGATAGGAGGGGAACTTGAGATAGCGGAAAAATGGATCTAATGACTATTAAAACCAAACAACCGACCTGGCTGCTAGAACCAGGCAGAGCGCCAGACAGAAAAATGGTTCTGATGGCTATTTTTAAGTGCTCTCATCCTTCTTAAACTATAAACCTTCATTAAAGGAATATTAAAGTGCAAAAATGCCCTCTAAACCAACCACAAATCTTTTGAATGTTCCTATCTAAAAAACCTCAAATAAATTTTGTAGCAGTCCTAAAGGTTTACTACCTCCGTCCCAATTTACATATCTCACTTTCCTTTTCGGTTTGTCCCTTAAAAATGTTCCCCTTCCTTATTTAGTAAACAAAACAGTGCAAAATACTATCAAAGAATGCAAAACAACGTCCAAATAGTGTCAAACAGTGTCATTTTCATAAATTGTGTGAAAGTCAAACGAAACCTTTTAAATTGGGGCGGAGGAAGAATAATTTATACTATCTCGTCATTTTCATTAAATATTTATCCTTTTACCTAACTTATCAAGTCATGATTACTTAATAAAATTAGCAGTTTTTAATTAGCAGTAAAATATAAATATATTTGTTTGAAAGGTAAAATATAAATATTATTCACCCTTATATAGTTATATGTAAACGTTTTTTCCCATTTTTCAGAGTTTCAAAGACTCAACTTAGGGTGCTATATAAATCAAGTTAGTCGACACACAAGCTACTCGAGATCGACTTGGTTCTTATTTGATCCTAGATCGACTCAAATCAAACTCGAATAAAAAAGCTCACAAGCTACTCGATTATGAGTTAGTGTTGATTATTTTAGATCCAATTCATACATATGACATTACATTATATATTCATAGTATGGATCAATGCATAAAAAACTATACATGCCTTATACTAAAAATATATTAGATCTTCACATATTACTTATAATATATAAGAGATAATTAGACGGATAATTTTAAAACAATGTTTTTAGGTTTAAAATATATTAACGATTTCACATATGTGTGCAAATGTATAACAAATCAAACTCTTTATTTAAAAAAAATACCACGTATCATTTTTAGAATATGTAGAACTCGAATACAATTCGAACTCGACTCGACCTTGAACTTAACTCAAACCAAGCCATAAACGTTTCAACACGACTGAAGCCCGACTCAAACTTGATCTTTCTTTATCAAGTCCGACACAATTTAAGCTGAAATTGAGCTCGACTCACTCAATTAGCACCATTATCTCTATCTCATTGATCCGCCATGTATGATGAAATGTATCACAGTCAGAAATACAAACAAACATAAATTGACCATTATAATACTGCCTCCATGGCTCTGTCCATGTTCCTTACAAAAGACCCATTTCGATTTACGATGTTTGACCAACGATTAGTTTTAGAAAATAAAAAATTACATATTCCGAAAATACATTATAAGTTTAACGAAGTTGCAAAAAAGTAATTTTTGATAAAAAGTTGAATATACAAAATAAAAAATAAAAACTATTTACATTTCATTTTTTGAATTATGAAAGCAAATGTTTTATTTTATTTTAAAAACATCTCTATAATCGAGTCATGTTAAAGGAGGGTTTCCCTTTAAAATATGTCATTCGACGAAGCTAATTATTAAATAGTTACAAATTCGTTGAATTACTCAATTTGATGCATTAAGAAATCGTAGTATCTTCATTACAAATTTGTTGAATAACTCAATTACGTTGGATAGAGGAAGGACAGAAGGGAGGTGACCAAGCAAGGATGGATACAGAAGCCGGAGACCCAAGAAACGGGGTTTGGTCCTGGTACTTAGACCCACCAAGAAGCTGGAAGGCTCCGTTATTATGGACACTATTTTTTATTTAATAGGTTTCTTTTTTTTGTTTATTTTCGAGTCTTTATCTTTGTGTTGTTGATTTGGACACTTGTTTTGTGGTTAGAATTCTTTTGAGGGGTATTCCATTTTTCCTTCTTTTTCTCCCTCCCGTTTATTATTTCATTTTCATTTTTATATATTTTTGAGGATTAGTTTCCTTATACAAGATCTATTTCTCACCGTACTAATAACTTTTTAATTTATTTTCTTTTTACTGACACTTATTTATTTCATTTTTCCTTTTCTTACCTTTATTCTACCACTAATATATTTGTGAGAAAATAGCCCCAAAATAGGACTAAACGAATCCCTAAATGTAGAAATAGGACTATGTTATTTATCTTTCCAGAATAGGATTAAAGTACCGTCTATCTTCTTATTATCTACATTTCTACCCTTACCATAACTTAATAGGATAATCATATTTTACATTATAATAAAAAAGAAAAATAAAAAAAGGTATTTCAATTTATAAAAAATAGTAACAAAATAAAAATAAAGTTAAAAGAATTAATGTGTTTTATCTGGTTTTATTTATTTTCAAATTTTTCTTTAAATTATTATTTTTATTTAATATTTTTAAAACATTTTTTAACTTTCTTTTTATTTTGTTACTATATTTTTATAAATTGAAATACCTTTTTTATTTTCCTTTTTATTATAGTGTAAAATATGATTATCCTATTAAGTTATGGTAAGGGTATAAATGTAGAATAAGAAGATAGACGGTACTTTTGTCCTATTTTGGGATGATAAATAACATAATCCTATATTTACATTTAGGGATTATTTTAGTCCTATTTTGGGGCTATTTTCTCAAAAATATATTAGTGATAGAATAAAGGTAAGAAATGGATAAATGAAATAAATAAGTGTAAGTAAAAAGAAAATAAAGTAAAAAAGTTAATACGGTGAAAAACGGATCTTTTGTAAGGAAACTAATCCGAAAAATATATAAAAATGAAAATGAAATAATAAACGGGAAGAAGGAAAAGAAGGAAAAATGGAATACATAAAATTTGAAAAGAAAAACTTGAAAAGTAATAAATATAAGAATAAGAAGACCAAAAAGGAGAATAAAAGAGTCAAGACGATAAAAATAAAAGAGAAAAATTTTAGGAAGAAAAAAGAAAAAATGATATGTAGGATCGTTTGGAGAAGATTTGTGAAAAATGATATTTATGGTTGAATGATTTGCAAAGAAAATGAAAAAACCTGGAATACATCAAACGATCAGAGACCGACCAGCGAATGAAGATGAGGTGCAAATGTTGAATTATTAATGAATAATGATAATGTAAGACTGTTATAAGAAGATCACTAAAAGGTTAATTATTAATTTCTATTTCCCTAATAAATAATGGACTGGTGACTGTTGACGGGACTGAGTCACAAATACAATTGAACCCAATTTCAAATTGGGACTAGATGTGTAGCATTTCTTTCCTTGTTCTTTTCTTGAGTTAATAATCGTCAAAACAGGTCTCTGTCTCAGTTGTCCGGAGCTAAGGAGATCTTTCCGCAGCGACTCTCTTGATCGGTTCCAATGGTCAGCTCTCTCTGTCTGTTTTTTTAAAGCCATTTTCGGGTCGAATTTGTCTTTCCTTGCTATGAATCACTCCATGTGGATAGCTGCTAGCTCCTAAGGAATAGGGATTTATAGGACTTCAGTACGAGTTACTTGCTTTCGGAATTAACTTGTTATGTATTAGCGAAATTAGCTGACTTGAATGGATTTAGACCTTTTTTAGGATCAACCTTCTTAACTTGGACACTCTGTGCTTGTTAATCATCAGAATGCTTTACAAAATTGGGTTAAAAAGCTGAAACAAAAAAAAGATAAGGAGTAGTTTTTTATGCAAGTACTCCGTATATTGGAACTTTTATTTAAAGAAAATTTTTTCCCACAAACAGATCATGAGTTCCTATTTCTCTCTAGTTTGCCCCAGTTTTCCACAATTATGTACATTTTTTTTTATGAATTTCAGTGACCTTTTCTTTTTCCAACTTAGGTTTTGTGCTGGAAACTAAGGATAAACTTTCCATAAAGTTACTCACCTTTTTAGGGTAATTCAGAAAGTCAACCAAATATGTAGTTGTTTTGCTGTATTCATGCTAAGGAAAATGAGACCTATAAAATGGATGGATGGACTATGGAGTCCTATTAATTCACATTGGTAGGGTGTATGTTGTATACATTTTATTGATCATACTAAAGATAAATTACTTATATTACATTTATATTTGTATACTAATTAACATATACTCCATATAAAATATAGACCTTATTCATGCTTATCTTAAATCCACTTTTGTTTCATCTTAAACCCATTCAGCGCACAAGTTTCTCTCTAAATTGTAGGCCAACTCAACAATAACAATAATATTTTAGAATTAAATTGTTTTACCCAAACTATTTTATTAATATTGAATAAAAAACCAATATTATGTCCTTACAAGATATTTTTTCAAGTCATCAGCTAAATCTAAACATCTAATTTAGCAAAAATTATCCTACAAACGGTTAATAAAGTTCACCAGTCAAAATAGCTACACAATCAGCCCCCATTTATCTACTATTTGAACAAGTGTTAGGAACTGAGGTTCCCTCTAAAGTCTTGTTGTACAAAAAGCCAGAAAGTAAAAAAAAAATACATCATTGATTGGGAGAAACTTTTGTATATGTAGGATAGGGTCCCTACAGTTAAGAATGTCCTAGTTCTAGATTCTGAAGGAAAGCGTGTTGCGGTCAAGTACTATTCAGATGACTGGCCAACAAATGCAGCCAAAGAAGCTTATGAGAAAGCCATATTTGCCAAAACTCAGAAGATTAATGCAAGGACAGAAGGTTAGGTTTTCAAGTGCTTCTTTGCTTTCATTTTTGTATCATGAACCATAATAATTACCACGTATAATCTTTACATTTTTCACCATACAAAATCTTCCTTTCCTCTGTCATGATTGTCCATATGATGTGGTGAATTAATAGGATTGGCATGTTCTACAATCATGTTCTACAAAATCTTCTTTGCACAATCATGATGTGCTATGATTGGCATGTTCTACAATGTGTATGTTAACTTTTCGTGTCAAACTTGTAATAGGATAGAACCTTACTGCTATAGCAACTATCTTCATTTCTCGTCTCAGATGCTGGCTGTCTCATAATTTTTAAAGAAAATGGACACAACTTATTAATTTATCACAGTTTTGGAATATCATAACAATCTTTTCCTTAAGAAGGTTGTGACAACAAGGTTATCCGTCTACAAATTTCACAGTTATTTTTTAGTTTGTGCATAGATTTAGAGAGTTAGCGGATTGTCAACATTTGCTCTCATCATCCTGTTCTATAGGTCACAATTTGAGAAAAATAATTGTGTTTAAGTTTTGTGGCTAAATTAACATGTCAAATGAATAAAGGATAGATTGGAAAAAGTAAAAGGCTGGTGGAGTACAAAAAGGAAAGTGGACACGTTATGGGACAAACTAAAGATGAATGTGAGACTTAAAAAGTGGGATAGAGGGAGTAGTTGACACTATAAATTTGTCATCGACCCCAAAAATAATTCTACTCATAATGGAGGTTTTTGCTTTGATAAGCAGAAGTTAATTGACTTCTTATTTTGGTATGCAGTGGAGATAACTATGTTTGAGAAATACATTGTTGTTTACAAGTTTACCCAAGATCTTCATTTCTTTGTTACTGGAAGTGAAGATGAAAATGAGGTTATCCTGTCCACAGTCCTCCAAGGATTCTTTGATGCGGTTGGGGTTCTTCTTAGGTAATTTGCAGGAGCAGGGTTAGCCACTGTATTGTTTCATTCAGAGAAAACATATAAGAACTCATTATTGCAAATGCTTTCTCAGGGGAAATGTAGAGAGGAGTGAGGCACTTGAGAATTTGGATCTTATTCTTCTGTGTCTGGATGAAATTGTTGATGGCGGGTAAGATGTTTTTGTTCACACCAAAAATAGACATTTGTGGATACTAAATGGTCTCGCCACTTTTTTCATTTTACCAGCTTGATTTTGTACGACTCTCTAACTTATTTTCACTGTCTGAGCTGAATTGGTTAATAAAGGGAAGCCTAGTGCACGAAGGCATCCCCACAAAGTGAGGGGCCAGGGAAGAGTCCCACCACTAGGGTGTACAAGGGGCAAGCCTTCCCCTGTCAAATTTTTTACAAGAGGCCGCTCCCAAGTCTTCAAATGATTAATAATAATAAATAAATAGGGTTGTAGGCATGGGTTGTTACGGCGTCGCCTAGGCGTCGCCTAGGCGCCGACTAGTCGTCCTGGCGATGGGGAAGGGGCGCCATGGTTACTCGACTCGCCTGGAGCTGCCAAGGCGTAACTCGGCGTCGACTAGGCATAACTTGGCGTCGACTAGGCGTAACTTGGAGACGCCCAACGCCTGTTTTGCCGCTTCGGCCCAAAATATTAGATTAGAGAAGATGTTGAGTTTTAAGATTTAGCGTCGGCCATAACCCTGTGGCCATCAACGGTTCATCCCGTCGGTCGATTCACTGATGGAAGTCGCCACAGTACGCTAGTGCCTCAGGTTACTGTATAGCACAGTTGCTCCACCTCCGTCTCTGTTTACTTCGCTCATTCGGCGTCCTTGTTTTCAAAAGTCGCTAGCTGATCTATATTTTGTTGAGTTTTGTTTGGTTTGGCAGACAGCTGGAGTCCATATATTTTTAATGTATTATTACGCATTTTTCTACAAATATTTTTTTATCTGCACTTTTTATGTACAGTAAACTTCTACTCTTTCATTTATTTCATGTCCAGCTGGAATCCATGAACCAAATTCAATCTTTGTTACCAAATGTCTGCTATACTATTGCATATTATCTACTATTCGTACACAATTTGTTATTTTCTTTGTGAAAATTTATACTGGACATTTTTTCTAGAAACATAATCTATTGTTTCATATATGTTTGTTTAAAATAATCTGAAATATATTATTTAATTATATGTAAATTTAAATATTCCATATGGCACGACTTGTCGCCTAGTTGTCGCCTAGGCGGGCGCCTAGACGCCTAGGCGATATGGCGGTCGGTTGGCGCCGCGCCTCGCCTCGCCTAGTTGTAGGGTACTCTTGGTTGAAGATGCTTAAAATGACATTTTATCTATTCTTATACGGAGTATATATTTCTTTATCAAATCATATGTAAATATATTATTTTCATAATTTATAAATTTCAGCAACTTCCTGAGTATCAAGCCATATTTGCCCTACAAAATGGGATCTTCCGTATCTCTACACTTTTAGACATGAAATAAAGAACGTTCACTTTATCAAGCTTTTCACATATGTAGTAAATTTATGCAGAATTATTCTTGAGACCGATGCAAATGTTATTGCTGGAAAAGTTGCAACTAATGTCTTGGATTCTGGAGCGCCTTTGTCGGAGCAGGTAAACTATTAGCTCTGCCAATCCTCACTCCTCAAAAAGGATAAACTACTTTTATAGCATTTCTATTTGGCTTAACCATTTTGATTTGGTTGAATTTTCATAATCCAGACCATCAGCCAGGCATTTGCTACAGCTCGGGAACATTTTACCAGATCTCTTCTGAAATGATGTTAGGGAATGAATGAATGGAACTATGGAAGAGATGATCAACCTGTACTGTGAACTTCCCATTAGAATATATGTGCCCTCTCCATCTTCGGATTTTCCTGATTTATCCTTCCTAGGATGTTGTTGTATCACTTATTTATCCTTCCCGCTGTTGGATGCAATCAGTGTAAAAGTGTGGTGATTTTTATGAAATTAATAGGTAGAGATTTCAGGTTTTGGAATTTGGATCTCTCGTGATAAAACTTACGGAGTATTAGTTTTACCATCGGAAAAGAAAAAGTCCCTTGTGTGCAATTGTGCATACGTTTTGCCTAAAATCTGTTGTTTCATTACATCTGGAACCTGTTGTTTCTATGAAGATCTTCAGTTTGGCAAAACTTCTTTGCAAACTGTTGCTCTTCCAAAGCAGATGTTCTTCAGAAATTGATGGAAAGATTAAGTTATTAAAGAGAAGTCTTTGATAAAAAGACGATAGTAAACGGCTAATCCCATAACGCTTTAGTCTTTTAAAAATTCAGAAGCAATTTGGGAATATAGTCGGTAATCATCATTACCTTCCGCAAAGGGGACCTTCAATGGGATTATAGTTGCTAATGAATTAGTAAAATAAGAATGAATTTTTATCGAGATGGATCAAAAAAGTAGAATGAGACAAAAATAAGGAGACAAAGGAGGTAATTTATATTTTATGGGATTTACTATAATATCCTCAGTTGAAATTGCCTAACTCACTTACTCAAGAAAATTACTTTATCAATCCAAAATCAGCATTTCAAATCTTTTCAATAGCTATGAATATTTTGTGGTCCTTTTGTTTAGAGAATTAGAGATCTAGAGGTGAATCCATGTTCTACTAAATATAATATCCTCGGTTGAAATTGCCTAACTCAAGTAAAATGAATATTTATGTTTCTGGGTTTTAAAATTGTATTAATTGGACTGATTTTTTTATCTGATTTAACACGTTTAAATTTGATTTGGTTTGTTTAATACTAGTATATGTCTTCTATCATCTCTTTACGACTTTACTGGCGCCTATGTTTAGTCCCGCTTGGGAGGGAATCCGTCAAAATAAAAACGTCCTATAACATGTTTGTGTATATACTCCACTCTATTCTAGTTTAGCAAGAAAAAAGAAATCCATGCTAAAAATAGGAAAGAAATGAGATTTTACAATAATTGATTATATTTAATTCTAACTAACATTACAATGTCATCATTATTCTAAGGGGTTTTTATTTAAATATTACTAATTTTGAACCAATTACAAAAAAAGTGACCACTTTTAAAAGGAGTAAAAAAGTGATCAAGAAGGTCATACTAATGTTATTCCCAGATTTTAATGTTACTATCAAATGTCACTGCCGCCACCGCTCATGTCATTGCCGCTATCGTCCGTGTCACTGCGGCCACCGCCACCAATGTCAATGTAGCCATCGCTCATGTCACTGTAGCCACCACCCGTGTCACTATAGCCACCGCGCGTGTCACTGTAGCCACCGCCCGTGTCACTATAACCACCGCCCGTGTAACTGCAGTCACCGCGCGTGTCACGATAGCCGCCACTCATGTTACTGTGGTCGTTTTCGTTTAGTGACGCATCCCACCTTCATCACTGACCACCACCGCAGCTGGCCGCCACAATGACGGCTATCCCCGCAACCCCCTGCCTGCCCTGCCCCACATCCATCAACACAGTCCTACATTACCCCCATCACCCCAGCCCTGCCCTCATCATTCCAACCCTGCCCCACCCCATAAAGCCTGCCCCATCCCAATCAGCCCTCCCTCAAATCACCGGACCTGGCTCAGGCCCAACACATGTTCATTGCTATGCTTCGACTTGATATGAAAAATCTATAATTTTTCTAAAAAGTTTAAAATGAATGAATTATAAATAATAATTAAGTGTATATATATGCGAAATTATAAATACAGTTGAAACTAGCAATTATTTACTGTTTGATGTAGGTTTTTTTTTTAATTTTTGTTTCAAAATTACTATTCTTATTTTGGTATTGTTTTAAATCTACTCTAGTATTCTTTTAAGATAATGTCAACATTTTAATTAGGATGTGACTCATATCAGTAATACATACTCCGTAGTATTTTCTTGAGAGAAAAATTCTTGTTCTACACAAAATCATTACACAAATTGTACTCTCTAGTTGCATGTATACATACACAATTATTTTGAAAAAGGGCAGAATTTGATACCAAAATATCCGTATATCCATATTGTTACACTATGGGGGTGTTTGGAACTGATTCTGCGAGTAAATTAGAGTTCCAGAAGTGCTTCTGGAATTTCACCCAAACACTCCAGCTTCTGCTTCTGCTCCCTAAAAGAGCAGAATCAGTTTTGAGAATCAGATCCAAACACCCCTATATCACAAAATACTTGATAAATTATTATTCTAATTTATTGTTAAAACAAAAATATGGCAATACCACTGTTTGAATCGGAAGGCTGCCTGGAGTGACGGTATCCTTTCTCCTGATGATTCGAACTCTTAATTTTGGCCTTTCTTCTCTCCAGAACGCGCAAGTAAGCCTCTCTCCCTGGAAGTATGTATAGATAGATTTGATTTTATCGGACTATATTTCTGCTTAACTTTAGCAGGGTTCATTGAAGGCAATCTGTCAAAGCTACAACAGAAACCATGGAGATGGACGGTATGGTTACAGTCTGAATTTAATTCATTTCTTCTTTTCCGTGTCATTTAATCTCTAGCATGTGTTCTGTGATGTGTGTCTTTCGTATTGTGATTAAGTTGTTTGTTCTTGATCAGTTGATTGCATTTGGCATTTATTTTGTCCACAACTTTAATTCTGGAGTGTTCTGTAGTGTAAATTGATTCTATCAAGCCATCTTGGTGGAAACAATTGTGATTTTTCGTGTTTGCCAAAATAGTATAAAAAAACTTGAAATTCCTACACAGGAGTGCCCTGTTTTCCCCTGAAAGACTGACATATTGAAACCATGTTGTCATATTGTAGCATTACCAGACATATTTAAGGCAGTTTTAATGTCATAATTGGCCTTATTTACATGCAAAGTCTCATATTTTGGAATATTTTTACGGTTTTACCTATTTAGAACAAATTCTTGTATAGAAATCACGTTGTTCAAAGCATCATTTTAAAATTTAACCTTTGGTGTTAGCAATTTCTGTATTGTTTATGCTCTAAATTTCTTATTCACCTACAGCTCAATTATTTCTCTAGCTGGCATACTACAGGGTCATGTTGGAGTGACATCAAATAGAAATGTCTATAATGGTATTAGGACTTTTTGTACTACTGAAGGTGCGTCATTGCAATAATCAGCAAATCTTGACATACTTTATAAGTTTGATTTCCTTCTTGGTTCATTGATGTCTAAAGCAATAATCTAGTAATCGTTGAGCTTCCTTAACATTACCTCCTCACAAGATGTCTGTAGTTAATTGAAGTTAAGACTAACACCCAAACCTGCATGATGATCTTCCTGGTGTCTGATAATCTTCTTCAGAAGATGCACAATTTTGTGTATTTATATTCCTTTATTTTTTTCTGGTTATACATAATCTAGCGCACTCTAGAAGCAATTTCTCTCTCTCTCTCTCTCTCTCTCTCTCTCTCTCACTTTTTTATATCTATCACTGTTATCAGACACTAACACGACTTATCTGATTGTATTGATTGAGTAAGCGGCTAATTAAAAAAGTGATGCAGAACTTTTATAATTATTTCACTTGTTAACTTGTGTTTGTTTTTTTGTGCTTATTTTTTATCTTCTATCTCAAGTGGGTGGGTATAGAACGTAGCACCACAAACATCGTAAATCATTTGTTTTTTTGGCTGATATGTCAGACATGTCACTCAAGAAATGCATCCCATGCAGCTCAAAGGACATGAAGCCTATGACTGAAGAAGTCGCGAATATCTTGATGAAGCAGGTTTGATTGCTGATTTTATTTTTCTCCGCCGCTTACTTTGTACTATCTTGTAGAAAATATAATAACTACAAAATTGACAAACTTGAATAACAGGAGTTTTTGTTCTTTGGGGAAAAATGTGTATGAAGCAAAGAAAGAACTTATATTCCATTTTTTGGTTGGGGAGAATAAACTTACTAGGAATAAGTATTCCAGTTTTCGGTTTGATATGAATTGATAGTGAATAAGTGGTAATGTGGTATAAGGTAAAAATAATGTTTGCAAGTCTAATTAAGAAGAGTGTCAGTGAACCTTTTATTTGTACCTAACCCTTGGAGTATTTGAAAATGAACAAGAGTTTTTTATCTCTTCAACCAAACATGCTGTTAGCCTTAATGCAATAAATGTTGGCCCTTACCCGTTGGCCATTGCCATCCCCTCTTCTTAAGGTGTATACTCTCTACTCAATAACATAGATAGATATCATACATAAAGCCGGTTTGGTAGCCAGAAGTGGAGTTTTTGGCTTGTCAGCCGAATAAGTATAATAAGTGGTTTTGAATTACTTATTTGCCTTATTGTATTCTACCAAACACTGTTCCTTCACAAGATTTCATAGGTTTAGCCATATTAGAATAACCAGTACCAAACACGCTCATAATTTTAGTCAATTATATGCTTAGGCACCTCAATGGAGTTTGGTGAATGATGGTGGAGTAATGAAGCTGCACAGGTCCTGGAAAGTTAAAACGTTTGTGAGAGGAATGGAATTTTTAAATCTGGTTGCCAGTCTTGCAGAGATGGAAGGTTTCTCATAATCCCTAAGAGACTATCTCCCCATCAAAACTTACCTTCATATTCAACTTGTCTTTAAGCAAAGATATCCGCAATGATTATGTGATTATTTTGGTTTTCTTTTATGCAGGTCATCATCCAGATCTCCATCTTGTAGGATGGAACAATGTGCAAATCGATATATGGACACATGCTGTGGGTGAGGATTCACTTATTTCCTAGATCTCCATGACTCCATGCACTATATATGGTTCTAATCGCCTACACATCATTTTCTAGTATGTGTTGACCACACTTTAGCATCATTTTCCAATCGCAGACACAGTTAAAGGTAAAAATTGCATTGAGTAAAAAACATGCCATCAAATATGCACTCGAATAAAAACCTTTAATCCACATGATCCATCTAACCTTTGTCTAGGGATGGACTCGGGCCGGGCGGCCCGGCCCAGAACCGGCCCGGCCCGGTTACTGTTTGAACCGGCCCGGCCCGGGAACCGGTCTAGGGGGCGGTTCGGGTCGGCCCGGCCCGGTTACTGTGTGGTTCGGGCCCGGGCCCTTTGATTGGCGAACCGGCCCGGCCGGTTCGGGCCCGGTTCGG